CTCTATTTCATTTTCACTCTCTACTCTTTGTTATTGCTTTCATCTCTAGTATCCCCCTTTCATATTCTTCTTTATCAAACATCTCAACAGTAACGATCAAATCATCACCATAGAGGTCATATTGAGCTTGTCTATACTCCTCATACTTTGCTATCTTCTTATTGAGCTTCTCAACATCCTCATATCTCCCGTTGATTTCTCTAGCGACACTTGACATACTCTTTGATTGTATCTCAACAATGTATTTGGATAATGTTTCGTCTTTCATGGTTTCCTTTCTGTTCATAGCATATAATACTTGCTCAAATTCGTCGGTACTAATAACCAACTAGGTGTCCGACGTTGACATAGGATGTCGCACCAAAGTGTAAGTCCCATGGCCAATATCGCTTGTGTGTAATCAATAGTTATATATTGCAATACATAAAAATTGTTTGTCTCATGACCAACACAAAAGTTGTCATACCATAACATGTATAATCAAGTGTTATATATTGCATAACACCATTGATTCACTCCCACGAACCTTTAGTAAAAAAAACTCTAAAAAAGTGATTGTAAGAACTCATTTTAAATAATATAATTATGTATTGATATAATTTATTAAAACCTTGAACACATCTAATATACAATAAATGTAACGCTAAATATGTATTATGTAATTTAGGTTTGAAATGTTGTATTCTCCAATGAGAGCCGATTCATACACAATAATTTTTATCCGTACACAACAACTTGTGCTTTAAAATGTTGTATTGTACAACTTTGTAAAACATTGATTGTTGTGTACGAAAAAAATTGTTGTGTATAAATCACTTCCCTTCTCCGGTATATACAAAAATGTCTTGTTATCTGACATATATAAAAATGTCATGTTGTTCAACATATATACAAATGTTACATATTGATGCCTACGTTATCAAATTCAGATTGTTCTATATTTTGTCTCAACTGTGCCAGTAAAATACAAAATCTTGTTAAGTTGAAAATGAACTATTTCAAAAATTGTAGTCATTTTTTAAAATACATAAAAACTTAATTGAAATTAAGAAAAATAAAAGTTCTAATACTATTTTTGTGAGTATTCCAAAATATAACTGAACATTTAAAATCAATGGTAAATTATATAGAGGTGGGTCTGAGGATCCACATAACTTTTTTATTTTATTTAGTATTTATATATTATTTTGTTTTAGAACTTATCTTAGAAATATATATATATATATATATATATATATATATATATATTATATTATTTTGTAGTATTGGAATTAAGAAGCAAATATATAAAATAAATCATGGAAGATTCATATTTAAATCTGCAAAGCAAATTATTAATGTTTATCAATACCTATTATATATGGGATATAACAAAAAAAGATATATAGTTGTTTGATATTATAATAAAATAACGATGAAAAGTTATTAGGAAAAGTCGAAAACAATGTAACTCCTAGGGATGTTATTCGGACCGAACCGAACCGAACCCGAATAACCCATAAACCGAATAAGGGTAATTGCATGAACCGAAAACCGAACCGATTAACCAATACGGGTTCAGTTCGGTTCGGGTATTAATCGGTTCGGTTCGGTTATTAGCTGAATAACCCGAATAACATGTACAAGATGATTAATGACCTAATATAACCGAAAAAACCCGAATAAACCGTATTAGAATTCTACAACCCGAATAATAGAATATCAATGTAGTTTTATACATCAACATAAAACATTCAAAGACTAAGATGTAACGCCCGTAGATCCGGGCTAGTCAATTTAGAGATAATAGGGGTCGAAAACGACTTTTCGACAAAAGATTATTTAGAATAAATAGTCTTAACCAAGTTGTAGAATACGTCTCAAGGTTTCCGTACATATAAAGAACGCCGAAATCCGAGTTATAACGAAGAAGTTATGACCCGTCAAAGTTTTACGGCAAAACCGACATGACACCGGGAGACGTAAATAGTGAATTTACGATAGAGAGACTTTTAGCCTTAGCGATCTAAACGAAAGTCGTAGAAAACGTTAAACCGAGAACATACAAAAAAAATACGCCCAAATCTGACTTCGTATGAGGAAGTTATGAATTTTCTAAGATTTGGCATAGTAGTGCACGACCCGAAACTCGAATTTTAGATCGGGCGGTTTTTGGCCTACGCGACCTAAAGGAGAATTGAAGATCTCATTAATAGGAACTCAACGGTAAAAAAAGACAGACGAAAATGGAGTCCGTATGTAGAAGTTATGAATTTTACGCGTACATTTAACAGTATAATCTCCTCGTACTGTTAAATTTAAGATTGGTCGAGATTAGCCGACGGAGTCAAAATGAAAGTTGTAGATCTTATTTTTACCTACGCGTGGATATAAAGAACGTCAAAAACGGAGGTCGTATGTGAAAGTTACGGATTTTAGAAGTCGGAAGTGTGCTGTGCGAAAATGGGTGATGTGGCACAATCTTGGCCATTGCTTTCTCCCCAAGTCTTGCCACTAGATGGTGACATGTGGCACCAAGTTCAGCCATTTTTCACTCTATAAATAGAACCTATCACACCCTCATTTTCTTCACACATTTCCCATTCTTTCTTCTCTTTACTCTCTCTAGAACCTCTCTCTAGCCCCGAAACCCCCCGAAAAGCCTAGGGAACCTCCCTAGCACGAGGCGGAAGCCCCGGAGTGCTCGACGGCTCCGAGAAGAAGAGCTTTTCGGCTCAGGAACGCTGCTCCAAGCAAAGCCCGATTTTCTATAAAACCCGCTGTAAGTGAGCTACGCCTACGCTATTTTTAATATATCGTTTATTTAATTATAGTAGCGTTATTAGGAACTTATAATAAGTACTTGGGCTATTATTATAGGTTATATAAGTATTGTTTAACGCTTATATAATAGTAATAATAGCTAGACTATTAATTAGTCTCGGCGAATAATAGACTAAACTCTAGTGGTAATAATACTAGGTTTCGTCGAAGAAAATTATTTTTAAGAAGCGAAGCGCTGTCTGAGTTCGGATTCACCACCTTTTCAAGTGAGCGCATAGTTACTTTCATCTTACACATAGATATGAAGTATTTTAAATAAATTACGTGTTATGTGTGCATATTATCTGTATACTTTCTATCTATGCCGGATGAACGATTTTATACATGTTTTAAATGATTTAAACTGTATATATATATATATATATATATATCTACGAGAATATGTTGGGTAAAACATGGGTAGATGTAATAGATGGGATATGAGTTGGATGATGAGTTGAGAGGTGTTATAGACCACGAGGTGAGTGTGAGAGGTGGACGATGTGAGAAGCCTTTCCCAAATGATGGCCCCGTCATCTAGTAGAGTATTGATGACAACCACAGACTATTCTAGACAGTCCAGTGGAACACTGGCAGGCTCGCAACCTGTAGATGTTGTGAACGATGTGTTCACCGGTGTACTCTAAAAACCCATTGACATGTATTGCGAGTGGACTCTCGAAATCGATACTGTCAATAAACGAGATAACCCTAGCAGCTGTGCTCGAAGGACAATACTGGTAGCTGCGCCTCACATAGAATGTCACAATTCTGGCAGCTGCGCCTAAGTGATAGAACTAGCAGCTGTGCTTGACAGCTGTGTCATTGACAACGATGGACTTTGTGCCGATTCCTTAGGAATGAATGAACGAGGAATAATTGATTCTTAGGGTAGATCCTTAAGGGTAAAGAAGATAATGGGGATGGGTAATTGGGTTGATTGTTTGATGTTTAAACATAATAATTATATTATTGTGGGTTGAAAACCCTATGTACTCACCAGGTTTTCCAACCTGACCCACTCAGTTTATTTGTATCACAGGTGTCGATATGAAGTTATATTACACTGAGAGATTTAAAAGAGATGTAGATCACTAGTGTAAATGAATGTAAGTTCTGTTTATGCTTATGTTTCTGTATTAACGATGACATCCCAAATGTTTTAAAATGAATAAAAATACATTTCTTCGAAAATGCTTTGATAACGTATTTATCATGTTTTTCTGGGAACAAATTCCGCAAGATATTTATTAAAAGAAGTACTCTGATTTTTATAAAGCATAAACAAAATCGGTCTTTTCTGGCCGTGAAAATGGGGATGTCACATAAGATAACATAATAACACATTGAAAGAATACCATTTACATAGTAGATTAATCTAATGAGAATTAATTTCTTTCTTGAGTTTTTTGAGTTGGAGTCCAATTTCCATGACTAACAAAGTAAGAATTCGTGAATCCTTAAAGACAATAGGAATGATCGATTTTTGAAAGTTTGAAACAAGAGGAATGATCGACAGAAGTGATTTTGAGTTTGGAAATAGATAAGAAGATTGGTCGATTTTGAAACAACGAGAACGAGGATAGGTTTTTTTTTTCTGTTATTAGACAAAAGTATGAATCGTGATTTTGATTTCTATCGATTAGAGAAAGGGGAGGAGGAATGCTTATTCGGGTCGACTATTTAGAACCAAATAAGCTCTTATTTGGGTAACCCGAACCGAATAACCCGAGAACCGAATAAGCATAATATAGATACCCGAAACTAGAATCGAATTGCTTATTCGGGTCTAATTCGGTTCAGTTCGGGTTTTCGGACCAAATTCTCATCCCTAGTAACTCCTATTATATTGTGATTGTAGGAAATGATGGTTGTAAATGAGTTTTTCAAAAAAGAAACAAAAGTCCGGTTTTAAATGTCAAGTAGAACTATTTTTATTGATTTTCAGGGTTCGATCGGTCCGATTGAACCCATTCTCTTACAAACCGGTCAGGTTTTATTGATTCGACGCAACCCATTGTAGGTACCATTGATTTTTTCATTTTTACCGACTATATAATTTCTAGATTAGCTATTAAATAAAACAATATCGTAAATTAACATTTGTAAACCAATAATTCGAAGAACATAAAGTTACCGTTTGAAGTCTTCACATTTTCAGAAAAAAAATCCGTATCAATTTCCCATTTCCCAAAAACTTTACAGGGCATTACCAACACTCTGACCCATCACATACAAGACCTTCATTTCTTGTTTCACTTCACTACTTTTCTCTCCGATTCTTTCACAATGTTGAAAATGGCGGGTCTCTTGGCTCCTCTTTTCTTCCTCTATGTTTCTGGTAAGCTCAATCAAAACTCCATACTTCCTTCTTCTTCTTCTTCTTCTTCTTGCTCAGATTTGTGTTTCTATTAGTTGCAGGTCAAGAACTGCTACAAATCTCAAGTCTCGATAACCATGGTTCAGTACAAGAGGCATTACAGTCGACATCACATGCAATGGGAGTATTCTTGGATGAAGGGAAGCTCGACGAGGTGTCAACAAGCATTTTAATGGCGGAAACATGGCTTAGGACTCATGTTTTATCTCGTTACCCTTCTGTAAATGTAACCACCATTGTTGTTTCTAATAGGCTTCTGTGTGGTGACAAAAGCTTTGAAAACCAAGAAGAAATTTCGAGGTTAACACTTGTTGCAATGGAGAACGTTTATCATTCTCTTGTTAGATGGGGCTTAGAGAGGAAAATTAGAGTTTCTGTTTTGATTTCCTCAAAATGTTTACTCAAATCGTACCTTAAACCTGTTTTTAAGTTACTGGAAGAGATAAATTCAACTTATACTTTGAAAACACATGATTTTTCGGAAGAAACTGTTGAAATTTTGAGTTCAAACTTGAAATCCATGGCGGATTTGGGTGTTTTCCGATCGAAAACAGTGAATGTGATATCTTTTGAGACGAAACAAGAGAAACCCAGGTCAAGAAAACTCGCATCGGAGGTGGGTTACTCTGTTCCCTCCGACGCCGCCACTACCCCTCTCCCACCGCTCATCGGGGTCACTTCACCACCGCCGCTGTCTCTACCTTTTGCGCCGGAGATGCAACCTCCGATGACGGGTACACCTAACAGCCCACCACCGCATTATGGATATGATCTACCGCCCTGCAATCCCTATCCTACTCCTCATCACGGCCGCAGAGGTCGAGGTGCAATGGCTGCTCCACCCCCGATGGGCGACGGTGGTGCGATAGCAGCACCGCCACTTGCGCATGAAGGAGTGTGGTGCGTTGCGAAACCCAGTGTGCCGTCGGAGAAGTTGCAGGAAGCTATGGATTACGCCTGTGGAGAAGGCGGCGCCGATTGTGACCCGATTAGCCCCACCGGAAGCTGTTATTTTCCGGACTCCATTGTTGCTCATGCTTCTTATGCTTTTAACAGTTACTGGCAGAAAAACAAGAAAAATGGTGGAACATGTGGATTTGGAGGGACTGCTATGCTCATCGATTCTGACCCAAGTAAGCAATTTTCCGATTAAAAGATTCAAAGATTCAAAGACATTACTTTTCAAAATACAAAATTCAGATGAATCTTTTTAGTTTTTCAACTCAAATAACTTTCCAATACTGAAGTCCTATTAGAATATCATCTGGGTTTTCGTTATCTTCTCTATATTCTAATCACTTTGAATGATTTTGAAGATTAAAAATGAAAAAGTTCGACTTAAAAATGAAGTTAAAGATGGTGTTTAAATTTGGGTTCTTTTTGCAGGTTTTCGTCAATGCCATTTCACGCTTGAGTAATTTTGGGAGGATTAAGTCGATGTGGAGGAGGTTGTGGTTGATTATGAAGAGATTAATGTTTAATTTTGTGACATGTGATTTTAAGCTTATTAGTATAGAATTAGGCTGTCATTGAGAATTTGGAATTTGTGGTGGTTTTGATAGTAACTCTTTTGAGAAGTCACCGAAAAAATTTCTCCCATCGGATAAGCTAGTTCGAAAATCAAATATGGTTTGTTAGAGAATGTAATCTTAGTTCACAATGAATTCAATGCATTTTGTTTATGTTAGGAATTATTGAAGGATGGATTAATAGAACCTCATTTATTATGATGATTTTTAGTTGGTTTGAAGGTTGCGAGAGAATTGAGGTGTTGCCTTAGCTCTGTTTAGCAATGTTTTAAAACCCGGGTTTTTAGTTGACCCGGTGTGATGACCGGTTCACGGGTCAACCGGTTGAACCGCCGGGTCAACCCGGTTTATGGCCTTTTGCTATTTTCACATAATCTACACAATCAAAATGTTGAAACAATGATCAATTAACAATAAATGAACTGTAAACTAACCAAATTTGTCACAAAACCTTGAAACAATGATAATTAACAATAAATGAACCGTAATTGATTTCACAGTCAATTGATAATTAACAATAAATAAACTAACCAAAGTCAATTGATAATTAACAGTAAATAAACTAACCAAATCTATCACCTGTAATTGCTAATTAACAATAAATGAATTGTAATTGATAATTAACAATAAATAAACTAACCAAATCTATCACCTGTTTCAAAAGAAAAGCTAATCAGAAGTCATAGAAGAAAATAATCTGATTTCAAAGTCAATTGGAGAAGAAAATAAAAAAATCTATCACCTGATTTCACAGTCAATTGATTTCACAGTCAAAAGAAAATTGATTTCATAACAGCTAATCAAAATTAGATGAACGGAAGTCGTTGTAGCAGGAAAAAAAAGAAAGGAAGTAGCTGTTTTGCAGCTAGTCATCAGTTGCTGAGTTCATAACAACAGTCGCTGATTTCATAACAACAGCTAGTCAAAAGAAAATTGGGGTTTCGGTGGAGAAGGAACAGCCAACAGGAACATCAGTCGCTGTAGCAGGAAAAAAAAGGAAATCGTTGTTTTGCAGGAAAAAAACTCACCTGGAGAAGAATGGAAGTCGCCGGAGAATAACGGAAGTAGCTGGCTCGCTGCTGAGGTCACTGCATTGCAGTCGCTGCTTTCTTTCAGTCGGTGCTTTCGTTTCCCAGAGAAGAGAAGAACGAGCGATACTCACTTAATTATGCAAGCCCTAATAAACGGGCCAATCCGGTTTTTACCGGTTCAAAGTACCCGGTTCAACCGCGGTTTATGGTAAACCCGGCCGGTTCGATCCGATCGGTATTTTTACTAAAAACCGGTCTCAATTGACCCGTCTTCTATCCCGGGTCACGGTCCAACCGGTTCAACCGGCCGGGTCGACCCGGGTTTTAAAACATTGCTGTTTAGCATCTTAAAGGTTTTGTTATGGCAACATCGATATTGCTCACTATAAATATCCATATTGCTAGTTATAAAATCAAGATGGTTTCACCCAAATATTGTGTTAATAGTAATGTTTTAAAAATCGGTTTTAGCCGGCCGGTCGAACCGAAAACCGGAGAACAGAGTGGTTACAGTAATATCGATTCTATACTGATTTCTTGACCGGATCGAATCGAATGTTTTTCCAAAAATTGAGTTGAACCGATGTCATAAAAATTGGTAAAAGCCTGTGAACCTGTGAGTTAGACTTGGATTTCACCTAGTCCGTTAACACAAGTTCATTCCAACACAGATTGAATATCGATCGGCCATTAGGTTATCCCTCGATATTCTTCCCATTTGAGCTTTCAAACATTGATATTCTCAAATTAAAAATGGATATCTTCAAATTAAACGTCAGATCTTCTGAAATTGAACGTCTTCCGAGTGTCTGATGGCCATTATACCATGTATGTGTTCGATTTCTCCAAATTAAGTGTCAGCCAACATCCACCGTGTCCAATTTGTTTTCTCCAAAAATCCACCGTGTCCAATTTGTTTTCTCCAAAAATTGACTTGTGTGTTCGACTTTTCTATTTTTCTGAGGTACCTAGCTGAGTTATATATGTGTCATTATATTCATTAGTGTCATTATATATAGTGTGTATGTTGGATTGTAATTTTTATATTCATTAGTGTCTATGTTTATGTGTCCATGATTTTACTATGTCCGGGTTGACCCGACGATTGAACAATTTGAACCGGGAACCCGTCACCAGATCGGTCAACTACAAAAAACAATTTTTAAAACATTGTTTAATTGTAGAACTACACGTGTGAAGCCTATAATCTCGAGATCCATTGAAAGAGTCAAAGAAAAATGGGAAAATGATTTATAGTGGAGTGAGTCGTTCTAAATGGTTTGCGAGAGAAGGCTAACAGCCGACAACACAAAATCAGCGGCGTGTGGTACCATAAAATTTACCACAAATATGTGGGAAGTGCGGCTTCTAAATACAATCAATTTCCAGCTTAATACAGTGAATTCACAGTTTAAGACGCAAAATTCACAACTTAAATAATAAATTCATAGAACTACACGTGTGAAACCTATAATCTCGAGATCCATTGAAAGAGTCAAAGAAAAATGGGAAAATGATTTATAGTAGACTGGGTCGTTCTAAACGGTTTGCGAGAGAAGGCTAACAGCCGACTACACAAAATCAGCGGCGTGTGGTAGCATAAAATTTACCACAAATATGTGGGAAGTGCGGCTTCTAAATACAATCAATTTCCAGCTTAATACAGTCAATTCACAGTTTAATACACAAAATTCACAACTTAAATAATAAATTCATAGTTTAATACAAAAAATTATACATTTTCAGCCAAATTCCATACTTAAAACTTACATTTATACTTTCACACATGAAGACTAGCGTTTCTTTCAATGTTTAATTTACACAATATTCACAGTTTAAATTTTACACACTTTATTTAAAATTAGAGAAAATCAGATCTATATATAATGCTTTTTTCATATAATATCTTAGAAGCAATATAAAAAATTCAAGTTTAATAAAAAAAATTACAATTTAATACACAAAATTATACATTTATACATTAAAAACTATAGGCTAATGGTGTATGACGATTAGCCCAAACACAACAGTCATACGATACAAATTAAAGGGCCTTACCGGGAACTAGCAACACCTTAATTAAATAATACTTAAGCACTACTCGACGACATGTGATTTTAAGCTTATTATATATATATATATATATATATATATATATATATATATATATATATATATATATATATATATATATATATTAAAGCGTAACAACAGGGACTTTAGGTTTTTGACACCATTCTATGGGGTTTCATACTTTTGCTCCCTTCAATATTTACCCATGCAATCTCCACCCAGAAGTATATCTAATTGTGCAATCTCCACCCAGAAGTATATCCACTTGTCAATTTGGTCCCTGCCTTTTGTAAAATTGTTCTATTTAAATACTTTTTTTCGCGTTATTACAAATTTGGTCCTTCCTTGGTCAATGAGTAGTGAACCCTACTGTATACTCTTAGAGTTCTTCGTCGCTCTTACATGTTTTTGAAAATTGTCGTTTTTTGGCCAATTTTTTTTTAGAAAACTCTAAATTATTTATAACCCATGCGATGCATGGGCTCTTTCCTAGTTAGTATAGAATTAGGTGTCATTGAGATTTGGAATTGTGGTGGTTTTGATAGTAAATCTTTTGAGAAGTCACCGAAAAAATGTCTCCCATCGGATTCACAATGAATTTAATGCATTTTGTTTATGTTAGGAATTATTGAAGGATGAATTAATAGAACCTCACTTATTATGTTGATTTTTAGTTGGTTTGAAGGTTGCGAGAGAATTGAGGTGTTGCCTTCGCTCTCTTTAGCATCTTAAAGGTTTTGTAACGACAACATCGATATTGCTCACTATAAATATCCATATTGATGGCTATAAAAATCAAGATGGTTTCACCTATATATTGTGTTAATACTAATGTTTTAAAAATCGGTTTAAGCTGGCTGGTCGAACAGAGAACATGAGAACAGTGTGGTTCAAGTATTACCGGTTCTATGCCGATTTATAGATTGGATCGAATCGGATGTTTCTCCAAAAATTGATTTGAACCGGTTCATAAAATTGGTAAAAGACCGTATGAACCTGTGAATTAGACTTGGATTTCATTTAGTCCGTTAACAAAAGTTCATTCCAACCCAGACCGAATATCGATCAGCCTTTAGGTTATCCCTAGATCTTCAGCATTCAAAAGTTGATATTCTCAAATTAAAAGTGGATATCTTCAAATTAAATGTTGGATCTTATGAAATTGAACGTCTTCCAAGTGTCCGACGGCCATTGTAAAATGTATGTGTTCGATTTCTCCAAATTGAGTGTCAACCAACATCCAACTTGTCCAAAATTGTTTTCTCCAAAAATTGACTTTTGTATTTGACTTTTTTATTTTTCTAAGGTATCTAGCTATCAGTATATTCATTAGTGTCATTATATATAGTGTGTTTGTTGGATTGTAATTTTATATTCATTAGTGTCTGTTTATGTGTCCATATTTTACTATGTTCGGGTTGACCCGACGATCGAACAATTTGAACCGGGAACCGGTCAACAGATCGGTCAACTACAAAAATATGTTTTTAAATTATTGGTTAATTGTAGAACTACATGTGTGAAGCCTATAATCTTGAGACCCATTGAAAGAGTCAAAGAAAAATGGGAAAATGACTTATAGTGGAGGGAGTCGTTCTAAACGGTCTGCGAGAGAAGGCTGACAATCGACTACACAAAATCAGCGGCGTGTGGTACCATAAAATTTACCACAAATATGTGGGAAATGCGGTTTCTAAATACAATCAATTTTTAATTTAATAAAGTCAATTCATAGTTTAATACGCAAAATTCACGACTTAAATAATAAATTCATAGTTTAATACAAAAAGTTATACATTTTCAGTCAAATCCCATACTTAAAACTTACATTTATACCTTTAGATATGAAGACTAGCGTTTGTTTCAATGTTTACTTTACACAATATTCACAGTTTATATTTTACACACTTTATTCAAAATTAGATAATCAGATCTATGTATAATGCTTCTTTCATATAATATTTTAGAAGCAATATAATAAATTCACATTTTAATAAACAATTTTATAGTTTAATACACAAAATTATACATTCACAACCATATTCTCTACATAAAACTTACATTCATACAT